TTGCAGCACAACTTCTTGCCACTAGGCCACCAGAGCTCCTAAGACACTTTTGAAATCTGCTGCCCCTCTCTATCTGGCCTTGTGTTACCATTTTTGCTATGGTGTAACTTCAGTATTTTGACTTTTTTTCCAGAGAAGAAGAGGTATCTTGTAGTGGACCTCTGTCCCAAAAGCAAGCAGAAGTTTTTCTTTCTCAACAGGTAGGTGAATTTTGTCATTCAGTGGTAAGTTTTTCAGGTCTGGGACACTGAGAAAAACACCTCTTGGGTTGGCAGGTCTGTGAATTCCCCCTCGCCCTGGTGGCACTGCCTCTCAGGTGGTTTTCCTGTCAGCAGTTTGACTCCAGCACCTGCTGGGAAGGAAGAAGGTGAAGCAGTTGACCTGCTCCCGTCGGTGCTGGCCACCCTGGAAGCCCCGCGGGGAGGCCTGCGGGTCATGGCACGTCGGAATTGACCCCATTCAGTGGGTTTAGGTGTGGGTTTTTATGACTCCTGGTCCCCTTTTCTTTACCAACTGGGTCTGTGTCTGTGTGTCCATTCTTGGGATTTTTGTGTGTGTGATTTTTTTTTTTTAAGTTGAAGTGACAATGCAGGTTCCTTTAGAGACTTAACACAGCCCCAAAACATGTAGTTTAGACAGTTTGCTTTTTTATTTTCTGGAACCACGGAGGCCACCATAGAGAAGAAAAGGTTCCTGCAGTGCCTGAAACCCTTAAGAAAAAGCGAACGTATTTCCCAGAATTAAGGCTCAAGAGTGAGAAAGAAGTTTGCCCAAAAGGTGCTTCAAAAGGCAAGGAGGAAGCTTACCTGTGAAAAGGCTAAGCCCTGTCATTGAGAATAGAGGCAGCTGTACAGAAGTGACGTCCGAATGGCTCGAAAAGCCGGGGCTTCTTAGAACCCAGGCTGGCTCTTGTCCTCCGGATGGGTATCCACGGTGTGAACCCAAAGGTGCGTAGGGAATTTCAGCTCCTTTGCCAGATCTTCATGGCGCCTTTGTTAGACTCAACAAGGCTTCAGTTAACATGCTGAGGGTGATGGACACGTGCACTGTGCGGGGAACTCCAACCTGAAGGCTGTCGGTGAACTGGTCTGTAAGCGCGAGCGTGGCTAAATTGATAAGAAGTGACTTGTTCTGACAGATAACACTCTGATTGCACGATCTCTTGGTAACTGCATCATCTGCACGGAGGGTCTGATTCATGCCGTCTGTACTGTTGGCAAACGCTGTAAAGAAGCAAACCACTTCTTGTGGCCCTTCAGAGGATCTTACCTCAGTGTGGAATGAAAGAAAAGACCGTCCGTTGTGTGGAAGGTGGAACTGGAAGACCAAAGGAGCAGACTTACTAGAAGAATGAACTGAGGTGTCAGCCATGATTGGTTTTTGTAATCTGGTCAGTAAATAAAATAGTAGCTACTTCCAGATTAAAGAAAGTGGAAGAGAACTTGCTTCTCCCTAACACTATTACTAATATTTTCAAGCTGGCAGATAAGGTGAGAAGCTTGATCCAGGAGCTCCCAGAAGCCAGTCACTTCCATTCTCCACTATTGGGTTTACTTTCTTGCCTGTCCCCCCTCCACAGCCATTTCATCTTGGACTTTTGATGCACTTTAATGTGACTTATTGGCATCAGTACATTTCACCCTGAATGTTGTTGTTCTGTGCCATCGAGTCGCCCGTAACTCATAGTGACCCTGTGTATATTAGCTCTGAACCCTGCCTTAGCCTGAGCCAGTCTCACTGACTCCAACACACCTAACCCTCGGCCCCTGTTACCTATCAGTCCATCTTGTCTCGAGTCTTCCTCTCCTGCACTGTCCCTCCACCCTTCAAGCATGCTGTTCTTCTCTAAGACCTGGTCCCTCTGGCCACGTGCCAGACAGAGCTTCAAAATCCTTGTTCCCAAGGAATAACGTGGTTTCACCATCTTCAAGACAGACCTATTTGTTTTCTTGGTGGTCCATGGTATGTTCAGGACTCTTCTCCAGCACCACAACTCAAACGCGTCGATTCTTCTTGTATCACCCGTAGTCATCATTCAGCTCTCTGATGCGTAGCAATTAATTGTAAAGACCGTGTCTTGGATCTGGCAAACCTTACTCTCTATACTGACATCATTGCTCTTTAGCATTTTGGGGAGGTCATTGACAGCAGATTTTCCTAGTGCAGTTTGTCTTTTGATTCCCTGACTGCTGGTGCCAAGAGTGTTGATTGTGGAGCCGAGCCAGCTGTTAACCACCTCAGTCTCTTCTCCATCCATCACGGTGCTGCCAGTTGGCCCAGTGGCGAGAATATTCGTCTAGGTGTTGAGCTTCAATCCATATTCTTCCACAGCAGATGCTTCAGGTCCTCCTCGGTTTCAGCACGCAAGGTTGACACCTGCCTGATTCTTCTTTTAATTGTGAAACGGGTGACGGTGTGTGGAGCACGTTGGTCGTCCGTTCTCTAATTCAGACGGATTTTGGCTCGTGACGTTGAGGGCAGCGTTCACACTCTATTAGCACTCTTCTCCCCGCTGTGTCCAGTTCCTCGCTGTCCTTTCCTCCCGTCCTCCCTTACGCACTTTCTTCTCGGCCGATGCTGCCCTTTGACCTCCTGTGTTGACTGTGTAAGGCCTGCGTGCCGCCCTGTGTTGTTGGTCACCTTCGAGCTTCTTGTCGAAGGTGTGAGCCCCCCTGCTGCGGCTTCTGAGCTGTGCTTTTTCACTAATACCAGCTGAGTGCTTTTTCCTGTATTATTTCTGGCATCAAATCTTGGCCTTTACCATTGTTTTTCTACTTTCTCCTTATTTGTTGTGAAAATTCTTTTTTTCTTCAAAAAGATGTGATGTTGTGATGAGATAGAAGTGATTGGATGACCTTTGGCGAGGCCTTTTGAACCATTTAGAAAGTTAGGGCTCTGGCTGATGAGAGAGGAAAAGGCGAAGGTGGACCCTCCCCTCGCCTCATACTTCAGTATGAAATACACTGACTTAAAGGTTAAATGTCAACCTTGGAAGCTGTAATCACACTGGAAAGAAGGACACATTACCTTTAACTCATCTCTGGAGGAGAGACTTTCTAAACTTAAAACAGTGGAAGGAGGAACGTCCCATGTTAGAACATGTTCTAACACATTTTAGTAAAACCAGCAAAAACCCGAGCTTGCGGAAGATGGGAAGCTGCCAGAGAAGAACACGACACAGTCTCACGGTCGCCGATAAAGGCGGTGACGGAAGAGTAAGGCTGTCAAAGGCGGAAGTTTCCAGACCCGCAAGGACAAGGCCGAGCCGTCAGGACCCACAAGGTCGAGGCTGAGCTCTCAGGACCCACAAATCAAACCTAGGAGTCATGGGGAAGGTTTGACCCACCCACCTCTCAGGTGGTAACTGAGCACTTCCCACACTGAGCCACCAGGGCGCCTGCTCTATATGTGCATGTATGTGTGTGTTTATCTGTTAGGTCGGCTTCATATTTTTGTGTTCCGCATACACGGACTCCACCAACACTAAATCGGAAGTGCTGCACGAGGAGAAGAAAACATTAGCGGAGGACACAGTTGAGTGATCTAAACAGCCCCTAAGGGCTGAGAGTGCTGTTTACATAGTACAGCGTTCACGTCATACTCGGTGTGCTAAGTGATCTGGAGATGAGTCCATAGGAAAAGGTGTACGTAGGTTATTCTGCAGATCCTGCAGCGTTTTACGTGAGGGCCTTGAGCATCTGAGGATCTGAATGTCTGTCAGGGCCCTGAGATCAGGGACACCACACACACGTATGGATCTGTGACACTCACAGTACAGATGGAACCACTGACGGGTTGATACTGCTGTTGGCTGCTGGCATTACCGATCGCTTTTCTATCTGTGCTGTTTTTCCATAGTTTTAGATTTTCTACAGTGATTTGGTAAAATAAAATTGAATGGGAAATGATTATGTATAAAGAATAGCTTGTGTGGGTACAGTTGGAGTGACGTGTCTGTACCCCAGCTGAGTCCCAGAGCTTAAGTGCAGTCGCTTTTGTCCTCTTCTGTGTTGTCCTTGTGGGCATCACAGGAAGCAAGTCAGGAGGGATTGGCGGGCCGAGCCTGAAGACGCTTGTCAGGTGCTTGCAAAGACAGCATAGGCAGCCCACCTACCACCTGCCTGCCTTCAGGGGGCTTGCAGTCTGGCCAGGTTCAATCCCCTGACCTCCAGAAGGGTCCATGGAGGGGGTTTCTGAGAGCCTGCAGGGGCAGAAGGATCCCGGTCTAGAGGTCATAGAAGCTGCTGACTGAATTAAAATTGGGACCTGCAGGCTGGGCAGGGGGCAGCGAGTGTTTGGGCAGGGGTGGCTTGAGAAGCCTCATATTTCAGAAAGTGGACACAGCTTTCTGTGTGGCAGTGAAGAGAGTGCAGGTGAAGGGTCCCCAGCGGGTCAGTGTAACTGGGGTGAGGACAGGGTGCCGTAGGGCCGGACCCTGAGGGGCTCTCTGTAGAAGAGTTGAGAGGAGGTCGTCGACTGCATGTTTCCACACACTCAGTGGTCACTTTAAAATTCCAGGCTTCCTTGTTGAAGAATGATGAGACCAGAGCCCTCTCACCAGCTTCTCTGCAGAAGGAGTTGAACAACTTGTTGAAATTTAATCCTGATTTTGCTGAAGCGGTGAGTCTGTCCAGGTGTCAGAGTCTAAAAGACAAGAATTACTTCTACATTGATGAGTCATGCAAATAAGTGTTGGCCCATTCATCGTGTCCTTGAGAGAAAGACTGTTACTGGCAAGTAAGCCTCTTGGCAGAGGCAGCTAAGAAGCCCCTGGGGCCCAAGGGAGTCTCTTAGGTTTATTGATGTTTCCTGTGCCATTCATCATCTCTCTGATGTCGCTAATTATGGACAAGCCATGATAAGAGGAGGCTTGTTGATCTCTCTGTTCTTTTTTTTGACGTCTCCTTCACCTCATGTGTTTGTTCAGAGGGTGGAGTCATTCTGGACTCAGCACTGCCTTCTGGATGGTGGGAGCACATGGGCTGTCCCCAGTATTTCCTGCATGCTGTGGTTAGATGTTGGTGCTGACTCTTGGGAATCCCACATCACTTGAAGCAGCATCTTCCTGACCTGTGCCGTCTCCATGGCCGCTGACACACGTTGCATCATGAGTGGGCTGTTTAGAAAACAAATGTTTCTAGAGGCTGAAAGGTTTCTTTTTTTAACAGTATTTTTGGTCCTTACTAGATTTTGTTTAACACTGAGAACTTTCTTGGTAGTGCCTGCATTTGACACACCTCTACCCTCATGCAGAAATCAAACTGTTTTACTTCTTGGAAGAGTCACTGAAATTGCTGCATTTGGGAGAAGGTTTAATTCAGTGATTCAAACCCAATGAAAGTGGGTTCAGAATAGGAGAGGATGGATGGGTTAGTAGGCTAGTAACAGTTTGGTTCAGGGCATGGTGCTTTGCCTCGAACATTTTAGAAAAGTTAGTTTTGTAATTTATACCTGCACCACCCAGAGAACAGACAAGTCTCTCTTGGAAGAAGTGGAGGGACTGGGCTGCAGCAGTGGCCTTGTGAGCAGAGAAGCGGGACGACAGGGCAGGCCTGGCAGCGTTTCTGTCTGCTGGACGTGGTCCCTGGGAGTCTGGCCTACTCGACAGCAACAACACCACATTTACAGAGGAGTTCAGGGTTAGATCTTTCCTTGAAATACCTCAGATAACATCTCAGTGTCCATAAGAAGTGGGCTTCCCTTCACTCTTTCCTTTTGTTCAGGAGTCCTAACGTAACTCGTCGCATGGTGAGTCCATATTTAAGGTAGAGCGCATACTCATTCTGGCCCAACTCCGTTTCAGGCTTGGTGACTCCCTCTCGAGGGAGCTGTGCCCAAGCCACGCACCTTGACCCTGCTCTCCTCAGGTAGGAGAGGGTTCAGGAAGCTCACCTGGCCACCTGGGTGTTATGGGCGGTGGTCTTGCGGGAGCTGGAGTGGAACATAGAATGTGGGGATTGCTTCTTGTTTTAGCATTACCTCAGCTACCTAAACAACCTCCGCGTCCAAGATGTTTTCAGTTCGACGCACAGCCTCCTGCATTACTTTGATCGCCTGATTCTCACCGGAGCCGAGAGCAAAAGTAATGGGGAGGAGGGCTACGGCCGGAGCCTGAGGTACGCCGCGCTCAACCTGGCCGCCCTGCACTGCCGCTTCGGTCACTAGTAAGTGCTGGGGCCTCAGTCTGGGCAGACAACGGGCGGACGTGGGCGGGGTTATGGGGGTGTGGCTGGGGTGTCCCACAGCGGCTGCCTTTCCCACGGGAGAGCGTGCAGCAGCTGCAGGAAGCAGGTACGTGGGCACCGCTCTTCCAGTAGGAGCTGAAAAGTTAGTGTGAAACACAGTGAGTATGCAAATAGATATAAAATAAAAATTAAAGGTAAGGAGCACAAAGATAAAAAGAAAAAGTTGGTGTGACCAGGTCAGGCCCTGGTCGCTCGGTGTCTCAGCCTTTTCTTCCTGCAGTTGGACACGTGGTGGGCTGTAGTGTCAGGTGCAGGTGTGACTTTCAGCGCGCTGGGGAAACAGAAGTTTTGTGTGACTTGCTTTGCTGCACTGCTCCAGAACCAGGGGTGCGGCACTGTGCACATTTCAGGAAGAGTTCTAACAAAGGATGGAAAACAAAGAAAGGAGGGACCGGTGGAGGGCGGAGAGGAGGACAGGTTCTTCACCTGGACCTGAAACCACGGGCTCCGGGGCGAGGCAGGCCCGTCCTTCCACGCGGTCTGCCCCCTGGCGTCACTCTTTGGAAGCACCGTCTTTGCACCTTTCATTTCTTCTAAGAACAGCAGCCATTGAATTAGAAGGAAATCAGGTCATTAGGCCGGAGACTCCCTTAGGGATTTTTCTGAGGGACTGACAGGGGTGGAGAAGCTATTTCGGTGTTTGAGAAGGCTGAGTGACATTGTGCCTTCCCCAGTTAAAGACCACAGGGGCTTGCTGAGAGTCTCGTCTTGTTTTTGGAGGGGATCCAGACAGGTCACGAAGGGGACCCTGGTTTATCCCGGTGCTCAGAGGTGCCTGTGTTTGTAAGGGATCAAGACAGGGTGATTGATTATCATTACCTGGAGAGTGTCAGGACTGGGGCGGGGGTGTGAGCCCTTGGATGCTGTGTCAAAGCCCCCAGTTGTCACCCACCAGCTGCTCCTCAGAAGGACGGCAAGGTGGCCGCCCCTGTGCAGACTGCAGCCTCGAACACCCGACGGGCAGCCGTGCTCTGTCCCGAAGGCCGCTCTCGGCAGCGATCCCCACTGGGTTAGGGCTTAAACACACTTGAGTAGATAGAACCTTTGAAAATATGAAGGCTGTTTTGAAAAGAAATAATGTGAATAATGGTTAAAAAAAAAGTTAGGAAACAGAGAGGTTCAGTTGTGAGAGTCCTTGTCACCGTGGCATTGAGCATTGTCTCAGATGAGGGGCTGTCATCTTGGGATAGAGACTCCCAGGTATATTAGAGGGTGTAGTGTCCAGGTAAAAGAACGAGACTGTTGGTGAGGGCTCAGAAATTGTACTGACTTTTCCTTTAGGAATTCCATTTGTTTCTGGTTATTGTGTGTTAAAAGGGACACTGAGAATCCCGAGTGTGTGTCGGGGCCAGTGTTGAGTGGTGAGACCGTGGTCTTGATGCTGTTAGGTGCCCCCGGAGTCTGTCCCAGCCCATTGTCAGCCCGCGGACCACAGAGCAGGACACTGCCTGCTCCTGGGCCATCCTCGGTCACCGTCTGCAGGAGCCCAGCTCAGTGAGCAAGGCTTCTTGTGCTGCTGACCCAGCCTGTCTCCAGGGACTGATCGATGTCTCCTGACAAGTCCGTAAAGTCAACAGCCTTGCGTCCAAGGCGTGTTCCTGCTGGACTTGGCAAATAACTGTTTGTTCTCTGACAGCCTCTGTTAGGTTTGCTAGTCTTTACCCACATTCAGATGTCTGCATTTTCTTTTTATCTTTTCATTGTTCACTTAGCATGCATTTGTTGTTGATTGCCGTTGAGTCGAGCACGACTCTTAGCGACCCTATGAACAGAAGACCTGAAGCCTTTCTATAACTATCGTTTCTCAAAGTTCATAGAGTTTCCAGAGGCATGTTGTGCAGGAAGTGGAGGCCACTCCTGAAGCAGTGGGAACTACTGTGGTTTAGGTCAGGTGGACCTTAGTCTTTAAAGTAACATTATTGCTCTTTCACACTGTTCTTCGTACTCCCCTCAGTCATCCCATACAGAGAATGTGTGCACATTTAGCCTGGAGAAGAGTCACACAGCTGAGTGTGTGCGCGACATTCTGCGTGGGGAAAGGTCATGTGCAAGGGCTTGGTCTGGTCCAGGAGTGTGGCTCTGAGGGAGGCAGAGTGGCGCTGGCCAGTTTGGACTGGACTGTTCTGTGAGACTGTGGTCCTGAGCCTTCTAACCCAGCCAGCCGGTTCCCAGGGGGCCTTTGCTGTTTCAGGGAGGCCTCTGTGACTGCTCCCCAGTCCAGTGGTTGGTCATGTACAGGACATGTAGTTAGGTGCCGTTGAGTAGACTACCACTCCTAATGACGCTGTGAGCCGACCCCTGTCCTGTCCTGTGCCATCTTCATCATGTCTGACACTCGAGCCCTTTGCAGCAGTCACTATATCCACACATCGGTCATCTCTGACCCTTCAGTGCGCTTCCAGAGGCTGTAAATCACAGGAGATCGCCCATCTTTCTCGCTCAGAGCAGCTGGTCCTTCACACCGCCTGCCCCCGGGCGGACAGTGCACCTCCTTGGGCATGGTCCTCCGTGTGATTTACAGCCTCTGAAACGTGCTGGAGGGCCGGCTGTGAGGCGACAGCACAGAACAGCCACAGTAAGAGATAACTCGTAAAAGCATAGTGCTCATGTAAGGACTGTCCGTGGGTTCAGACCAGCCGCAGCTCTCAGGGTGGGTCAGGAACCTTAGGGGCAGGGTGTTTCCGTTAGTGAGGGGACGGCGCACAGGAGGGTGACGGTGACCGCACACTCGGGTCTCTTGAGTGTTGGGTGAGCCTGCCTGTGCTTTGCCGTGTATGTTCACAACAGTGAGTGGATTTGGGGAAGCAAGACCCTGTGCACTGCAGGGCTGATCCTGAGATCTGAGCATTTCTGCATTTCTCTCGTGCACGGCGTGGAAGGCCTGGCTGCAAGCACAAGGTGTTTATAAACTACTGCAGTTAGATACATGACCACAACTAAGCCAATAAGATTGAATAAATAGTGCTGTGTTAAATTAGCCCCCAGACAAGGAACTGGGGGTGCCACCGTGGGGATTTTCAGAGGTGAGAGCTTGGGCAGGGGGTCCCGAACAGCCGCAAGAGCGGAGGGTTTCACGGTGACGTTCTCGACAGAAGGAGTTCACGGGAGCACATGCACACACTCCAAATCACAAAAATGACAATCTTCAGGACACGTCCTACAACTAGCTTTTGGAAGAAAATGATTAAAGGAGTAAAGGCCCCTGGTAAAAAGTATAAATTGTGTCTTCTCCCTGACCTTCCTTGAGTGGTGAGAAGCTGACATAAAACTCTCTGGTGTCCATCTCGGAGGGGCACGTCCAGCGGCCGTGTTTCCTGCCCGAGTGGTTCTGGTGGCCGACCTCACGAGTTTCTGTTGGGCAGATGACTTTCTGTCCCACTGGCTGCCCGTGAGCTTGTGGTTGTTGCTGGGATCCTAACATGCGTGTGTCTCAGTCAGCAGGCGGAGCTTGCCCTGCAAGAGGCCATCAGGATCGCCCAGGAGTCCAATGACCACGTGTGTCTGCAGCACTGCTTGGTGAGGTTCCCCGTCAGGCTGGGCTTCCCCTTCTGGGCTCCACTGGTCCTGGAAGGCACCAAAGGTCCTGGGGAGTGGACAGAGGCTAGCTGAGTGGTCGTGGGAAGGGCACCCTGTATTTAAGGAAGCCTGATGCCTAATATACTCAGATGCCACCAGGAGTTCAGCTGTTCAAGTCCACCAGCCGCTCCAGTGGGGAAAGATGTGGCGGCCCATTCCTGTGGAGGCTTCCAGCCGCAGATACCCTGAGGGGTAGTTCTTGTCCTGGAGGGTCACTGGGAGTCAGAATCACCTTGACCACAGGGGGTCGGGTGTTGTTGAGTGCTTTCCTTAATCCATGGTATCTGTGTTACTTTGGGGACATTTTCTATCTTCAAATGTGTAGTTCACATTTCCAAGCAAACGAGTGAGAGTCCCACAGCTTCACATTCAGCACTGGCAGTAACAGGTGTGCGTGCGCCCGTGACTGGACACCACACTCCTGTCCTGTAAGACATGAACATTGTCCTGTAAGAGCCTTACCCAGCAAACGAGAACCTGGCCCCACAGTGGAAGGTCCCGGGCAGAGGCTGAGAACCTGGCCCCACAGTGGAGGCCCCCGGGGTCCTGGTGCTACTCCTGAAGGGCGCTTGCTGCTTGCTGCCGTCAGGGGTGGAAAAGACATTGCGGTCCGAGGGTTCTCGTGTTTGACAGGTGTCATTGGGGTTCCTAGTTCTGATTTTGGAGGATTTGTGATCATTTACACAGTCTTGATTTTGGTGAGCACGGTGGTGTCCGTGAGGCCCGTCAGTCCCTCTCCCCATCACTGGGCGGTTTCTCTCTGCAGAGCTGGCTCTATGTGCTGGGCCAGAAGAGGTCTGACAGCTACGTCCTGCTGGAGCACTCTGTGAAGAAGGCGGTGCACTTTGGGTTACCGGTAAGCACCCACGACGGGGTCGACTCAGTCCGTGCGCGCGAGCCATTGTCGGCTTTCTGCTGCCTTTGGGGTGAACCAGTGATAGCGTCAGAAGGCCTGTTTGAATGTGCAGTTTCATTTGTGTTAGTTTCATAGGATCTTAATTATTAATCAAGCCTCTAAGCTCTGTTTCATCGGTTTCTCCTGCCCTGTCCGTCTGTCCTGACATCTGTGCCAGTTCCATCTCTCACTGCAGTGAGAGAGCTTTGTTTATTGGCCACATTAACTTAGCACGTCATCACAGGGAAGAATGTCTGGAACAGTATTCTTTTTAAGTTAGAGGTTGGCAAACCCACGAGCCTGTCTGGCCTCCTCTCGGTTTCTGTATGGCCCTCAGGCCAAGAATGGCCCTTAGACTTTTAAATAGAGCAGAGAGAGGGAAGAGAATGTCAACAACGATGATTATGTGACGGAGACGGATTATGGCTGCAGAACCTCAATTATTTATTATCAAGCCCTTTCCAGGAACCAGTTTGCTGAGTATCGCTTTAAATAATAAACAAAGCCAGAAAATGGTCAATCTGACAAGCAAATCTGTTATTTGTCATGTTCAATGACAGAGAAGAAGCCAAATGGTAGTCCTCAGTGGCTGTAACTGAGGAGTGTTGAAAGATATAGACGCCTCACCAGAAGTATCGATTCTGCTAGAATCTAGATTTCTGTTGCAGGAAGAAGCTTATTCTGGCCCAGAAACATTTCTTGTAAACAACCAGAGGCAGTAGAACTGTGAAGGGCATTTTTAAAGTCTGGGACAAAGTGCAGAACAGTTGAGAGTAATTGTGTAGTACTTTCTTGTGCTCTGCTTTTTAACTAAGGACAGAGAGCCTTGGGCTGATACCTGGGAAAGAAAGCTAGTGGGCAGACGTTTGAGGCTCGCTGCCACTGTGTGCATTCCCCCTGGCAGGTCCGAGCCCTGGAGGACGGATCAGAGCTGTCCCGGGGCTTCCGAGGCCACAGGACAGAGTCCTCTTAGAGTGGCTGACACGTTTCAAACACTCGGCTTTTGATTGGCTTAACCAGTCTGTCACCAGCAGTAGAATTTCTTTTCTTTTTTTCAGTGAAAAATTCTTTAGAACAATTTTTTGTTACGCACTTAAGTGGATTTTTTAAAATGAAATTTCGTGGTTCCCAGTAGGGACCATTCTTTTAAACCATCTAACCTGCTGCCCAAAGCACCGTGGAGGCACCATGGTTAAGTCATTGAGAGATAGTTAGAGGTGTGGGATCTGCTCTGTAAAGACAATATCCCTGAATAATGCAATGGAGAAACCAGAAGGAAGGAGCTTTGACCTCAGGTCACTGAGCCGGAATGGACCTGGTGGCAGGAGGTTTCTGTTGCCCAGCTCTGTGTTCTGCATGCATTGCTCCATCTGGTGCTGATGACAGCTCCTTGTGGAGAGCGCCGTGCCTGTATTGCGGATGCGGAAGCCGAAAGCTAGCTAAAAGCTAAGTGGCTAGTCCTGCATCACACCGTGGCAGGGGGTTGGGATGGGGAGTTCAGCTTACGGGGCCTCTTTTTCAGCCCCAGAGTTTTAGGAAGATATTGCCTATGATAAGTGTGGAAATAAAGTAGTAACTTACAGAGTAACCTCCAAGAAAATAAGTAAACCTTCTCATCAAAATAATAAAGAGGAAATCATACTTGGAAAACAGTTAAGACAACAGCGATAAAGGAAATGATAAGAAAAGCCATCATCACAGTTAACACGGTGCGGAAAAAGTCGCCGAAACAGCGATCGCAGCATAAAATACAGCACCGCACGCGTGTGTCGGGAGCACATTGCGCAGAGCGAGTTGAGTCGGTCACAGGGGCTGTCACCGTGTGAGGCCACCGGAAGCTAAGGAAGGTTTCCACACAGGAAGGATGAATTCTGGGTGCTTAACCAGAGATGGGAAGGGAGAAAAGAAATCAGTAAAGAGGGGGAGACCGTCCGTGATAGAGTGATCAGACACTAATGAAATAGTGACCCAGACTATTGTAACGAACTTATACAGATATGTATAAATGATGGCAGGAAAGACGTAAGTCAGGGGGTGTGGAGGGGCGGGTGGCGTGGCGTGTGTGTGCGCGCGTGTGTATTTATTTATGTGTTCCAAGCTTAGTATTTATGAAAACAGCAGTCCAGACTCAGTTCGTGGCCTGTAGTTTACTAGCCTCTGGTCTGAATCTGTTGGAAGGTAGCTTTCTTTGTGATCTCAGCTCGCAAAGAGCTCCCGTAATACAGTCCAGGGTCGTCTTGTACTGCACACTCGGTAGCCTTGCACACATTTTTTTTTTAAACTTAGAATATTGGATTTACATAAAATACGGTAAACCGTACCGAATTCCAACTGAAAGGAATCTTAATAATATTGCTTAATCTCTTAACTTGAATTCGCTTTAAAAACTAAATAGTCCTGCCACTGTACACATAAAGAAATGTGCAAAATGCTGTTTCTCAAAAACAAAACTAATGAAAATGAGCCCCTGATGTGTGCGCCTCCTCCTCTTCCTCCTGCTCCCCTGGCTGTGGGTCGGCCCCCCAGTACCTCGCCTCGTTGGGGATACAGTCCCTGGTGCAGCAGAGAGCCTTTGCTGGGAAGACGGCCAACAAGCTCATGGACGCCCTGAAGGACTCGGACCTCCTGCACTGGAAGCACAGCCTCTCCGAGCTCATTGACATCAGCATCGCCCAGAAAACGGCCATCTGGAGGCTCTATGGCCGCAGGTGAGCCTCCAGGCCGTGGGCAGGGCCCTGGGGCCTGTGTGCTTCTAGAGACAAGGGGAGTGTAGCCGGTGGGCTCAGGAAGGAACGGATAGATACGGCAGCTGATAGAAGTTATTCATCTGGGGATTAAGGAAAAGAGAGCTTAGAAACCCTTGCCTTTTGCCAAGCCTTAGTGTGCTTCCTGGCTCTGCTCCCCGTGGGTTGGTGAGAAGGCATGTAGCCCCTCCACATCTGGGGTGAGTAAACGGAGGCTTCCACAGCTGCTCCAGCCAGGTCACAGACAGCTGGGATGCAAAGCCAGGCATCTGACTCCAAGTCCTGCGCCCAGAGCTAGAAAGGAGCAGGGTGGCCGGCTTCTTCTCAGGGCCCCCTCTGTGGGCGCTCCAGGCGAGCATCCCCCAGGCCCTGTGTCTGCTGCCTTCTCAGCAGTGTCCTCAGCCTCGTGGTTCCTTTTCTGTTTCACCTTGTTTGCCTCAGAAGTAAACTCTTGGCCAGATTTTCGGTCCCAGAGCCCTGTGCTCACCTCGCCTCCTACGTAGCTGCTTAACTTTGGCCCATTGTAGCCTGAGCTGGAGCCCTGGTGGTGCAGTGGTTAAGTGTTGGTCTGTTAACTGGAAGCTCAGTGTCTAGAGCCCACCAGTCTCCAGGAAAGGAGGACAGGACACTCGTCTTCAGTGGCGAGTGGGAGCCGCTGTTTGTCCTGCACGGCTGCTGGAACTGACTCGGCAGCAGTGGGCGTGGGTTCGAGCACCGCACCCCCGAGCAGCTGGGGCCAGGGCTGCAGTGAGCACCCGCGGGAAAGCGGGGACTCTGGCGTGCGGAGCTGTCTGTTGAGAGGCGTCTCCGTGTTCCCAGCCGAGCTGCAGGACGGTTGGCACGGGGAGGGCGGCTCTTCGGGGAGCTGGCGTCTCTTCTTCCATCTTGGGGGAGAGGAGCCTGGGCGTGGCCGGCGGTGCAGACCCCTCCCGTCCTCTCCCCCGCAGCACCATGGCCCTGCAGCAAGCCCAGATGCTGTTGAGCATGAACAGCCTGGAGGCCCTGCCGGCCGGCGTGCAGCAGAACAACACCGAGTCCTTCGCCGTCGCCCTGTGCCACCTCACAGAGCTGCACGCCGAGCAGGTAAGCAGCGCTGGCAGCCGCGTGGCCGGGTCTGCCCAGGTGCAGGTGCCGCGGCTGATTCGTCCTAGAGAGGGTGAGACCAGGCTGCTCCCTGGAGGCAAGGATTCTGGGGCTTCGTCTGACGTACTTTGGGACATGTTGCCAGGAGGGACAGGTCCTTGGAGAGGGACATCATGCTTGAGAGGGTGGAGGGACAGCGCAGGACGGGAAGGCCCTCTATGAGATGGATTGATTCGGTGACTGGGGTAATCGGGATGGGTGTGTCAGAGACAGTGAGATTGGCACAGGACAGAGCAGGGTTTAGGGCTGTTGTACATAGGTCGCAGGTGACTTGATGGCACATAACGACAACCACCACCTTATATATGAAAAATATGGTAATTAACACTGGAAAGAAGAATTTATTTTTAATTTTTTTTATCTATTGTTGCACATTTTCTTCCCCTCCTCTCCATTCCTTCCCCCAGCCCACCTTCAGTGCACCCCTTGTTCCAAATTGTTGTCATACAAAGAAAGGGCCATTGATTTGAAAGTCTTTACTTGTTGCCCATAATTAACAAATGATGGTAGAGTCAATTTCCAAAAAATGGTATATGTGCTTAATTTTAGGGATCTTCCTTTATTTTATATTTAGATGTGAGGGGGAAAATCTAGAAGCGGAGACATACGAGAACATGAACTGGAGCTTTCTTTAGTAGGGCTGATTGTAACTGTCTTTCCTCATTGCTTACATGTGCTTTGTAAGTTTTCCTAGAGCGAACATGTATTGCATGTGTAATTTTAGAACTTTCTAGAACCAGGCATCATCCGTTGGCACCTGAAAGGCATGGCCGCAGGTTCCCGGTCTCAGCCCGGGTTCTTCTCTGCAGGAAGGAAGCCTGGGCGGGTGCGTCAGCGTCCTTGACTGCTTGCGGTGGTTTCCACACAGGCCTGCTAATCGCATGGTGTCTGTCATCTTCAGGGCTGCTTCGCTGCTGCGTCGGAGGTGTTAAAGCATTTGAAGGACCGATTCCCACCCAACAGCCAGCATGCCCAGGTAACCTGCCTTCCGTGTGCTCTCCGGTCAGTGCAGAACCCACCTTTTTCGTACTGCGGTCAAGCCAGGATCTTTGGGGATCGCTCCTCAGTTTCTCCTAGTGATGGGGCGTGTATAAGACTGAGCTGAGCTGACTTGAGACAGCTGGAGAACCAAGATTTCAAGGACAGCAGTCTGTCCGTCCTAGCGGGTGTCACGTGCATGTCTGACTGTGGGACTGAGGTGGAACTCCGTGTTCCTAGGCTGATCAGGAGTGAGGTCCCCGTGTTGTTGGCTCTTACCCTAATCATTTCCTCCCATAGCTGACGAACTTTCTGGGGCCTGAACCCAGAGAGAATATAAGCATTAGAGCTTTAAAGGGCATCCAAGCCTCTCTGTTCCTTTGCCCCATTTTCTATCTCACAGGGGCCTGAGAAAGCTCTTTCTGGGGCTTCCTTTCCAGTTTTGTTTGTTTTTTTTAATTTTTATTTTATTAATATTTTTTGTGTGTACCATGAAATCAGATCTTACTGGTATAGGAGGAGAGTGTCCCTCCTTTTCCAGCAGAGTATCTGGTGGATTTGAACTGTGTGCCTCTGGGATTGCAGTGCAGCTTTTTGCCACTCGGCCACCTGAGCTCCCTGATCCTTTCCAGTTTTGTCTTCAGTGGACTAGGGAATCTGAACCTGTGAGGCCTCTTAGCGTGTGAGTCCCCCTAGCCGTCCCTGAGACCGTCACTCCTCCGTGTCATGGTCTGTCTCACTGTGTGTGGTGAGTGGCCGTCGGCATGTGCAGCCCAGGCTGGGGGCTCCCTCCTGTCTTTGAGGAGGCTGTGATCAGAATTCGGGGGACCCAGAGGGGAGGAGGAGAGCGGAAACTAACCCAGGAAGGCGGGGGAGGAAGACGAGGAGGAGGACTGATGAAACGGGGTGGCTTTGGTCCCAGCTTTAGTAGGTTTTCAAAAACAGATGCACAATTTTTTAAAAAATGCATCCTTTAATGCTGTAATTCCAAAGAAGCACATATACACATGCGTGTATGTGATATTGTGATAGAAATAATTACAAGATGCTCCGCCTTGCTAGTGACCAGGGAAATACAAGTTAAATCAGTAATGAGATTTCTCTACCCATAAGATTGTCCTGACACAAAAGAGCTGCCAATGCCCAGTGTTGGTGAGGACACAGGGCAGCAGTGGTGCCACATGCTGCTTGTGGGAGGGTCACCTGTCCAGCCCACGTGAGGACCAAATGGATGGTGGGTAAACGCTGGAGAGAGCATCTCCCTGGCTTCCCGTGCGTCTAGATAAACGTTCCCGGCACGTCGCACCCGGATGTGCACTGTGGTGTTTAGAGAGGGAAATGTCAGGAGCTGCCCAACTGTGGTGGTCAGTTCTGGTGTGAGGTCTCTGTGAGACAGAACAGGCTAGCACGCCCCATGGGGTTTCCTAGGCTGTCGTCTCTGTGGAATCAAATGGCCATGTCTTCTCCCGTGGAGCGGTGGTGAGTTCAGACTGCTGACCGTTCTGTGTTCCCAGAGTTCCTCGTTACCTCACATCCATTTCATATTCACATAACTAAAAGCTATGAATGTGAATGAACATAGGTAAACCTTAGAAAAATGTCACAGTATAAAGGCAAGTTGCCAAAAAGATGCAAACAGTATGATCATATTTATACAGAGTTTAGAAGCATATAGAAGAATAGTGTATATTGTTTATGAGCAAATGCACATGCTGTGGAAGTGCAGAGATGTGAGTGCGAATCAGAAGCACCAAATTCACTGCTGACTTCAGAAAAGGAATAGAGCCCTGGTGGTGCCTTGATTTCTGCTAGTCAGAAGTGGGGTGGTCTGTGCCCGTCCGCTGCTCCACGGGAAAGGGGTGAGACCGTCTGCTTCCGCAGAGACTACGGCCTCAGACATGCTAGAGGGCAGTTCTCTGTCTCACAGGGCTGCTGTGAGTTGGAACTGACGTGGGTTCCAGACTTGGGTTTGAAAAAGCAAAGAGGAAGAGGGAATTTATGAAGGAACTGCACGAGTATCTGTAGCAAACATAGCAACATGTGATGTGATGAAGCTGCTGGCTGGCATTTGTATTTATTATTCTATTATCGTGCTTTTCTTCTTAGTCTAAAAGATGAAGAATGAGAGTGAATGTCCTAAGGACATTTGCTCAGGAAACCAAAGTACCCTCTG